TCTTCCGATGCTCAGTTAGTGATACAAAGACTAATGCTCCCTAGCCAATTCTTATCTCCTCCCTTTCACCTCCCTGTGTTTTATTGCAGGTGTGCCTTTTTGGGAACTCGGAAGTGTCCTTGAGAGATCATCTGCGGGTAGGCTCCTCGGAGGATGAATTGGTTGAGATCATTGGAGCAGCAGTGGGCAGAAAAAAGAAACAGCATGCTGGTATGTTTACTGTATCCAAGTAGTAACAAGGGGGAAGAGGGCTAAGGAGTGTGCTTCTCCAAGATAAAGTGCATGATGGCCAAGACATTGGTAGAAAGGCATGAAAAATTATTAAATAGAGTTGTATTGTAGTGACTCTGGAGAGGAGACATAGAGGTTCCCACTTAATTGGAAGCATAGTCTGGCACTGGATTTGAAGTAGTAAGTATTGACAGGTCAACTTGAATGTTATGTGCTTGCTCTAAACTTCAGATCGGTATGCACATATTACTGAATCTCCCCCACCACTAGAACTGAGGCTGCCTAGCAGTCTTAGATTTCCAGAGACTTATTTTCACATGGCTCACAAGTGCCACTTTGGTGGTTATCCCCAGAACAAAAGCATAGAGGCCTACAGAAATCTGCAGAGGTCTGTTTGCTCTGCTTCTTTTAATTAGAATTAGGTCAGTGGGAGACCATAAAAGCCAGAGCTTGGAAGCTCATCTGTGTAGCCCAAAGTCCTGTTCCTGACTGATTACTATGACTAGTATTGATTCTTCAGAGCATGGTCTGAAAACCCATGCAGGCATATAGCCAGTTCTGTAACACGATTCTGAGAACAAGAGGAGGAGAAGAGCCTCATGATCTCTGGGGCAATGCATTTACACCCCAGTGCATGAGATGAGATTACCCTTATTTTAGCTGGCATACCTTCAACCTACTTGATTCATATTCTTTCCAGCTGCCTTTAAAATTCAAATAGCTACTCTGGTTTCTTGTGTGGGGAATTAAGTCCGCAAACTATCCTCATGCCATTAGGAAGTATTGCCTTTTTTTTTTCTAAATACAGTGGCCACTCGCAATCTTCATTCCCCTTCTCTGGTCCTATCACATCTATTAGAAGGTATGGTGACCAAAACAGTATCTCCACTTCACAGAGTAAATTCCTTTCCTGCCCATGCCTTCTTTAAACTTCCCTGAGCACATAACATTAGTATAAGAAAAGGAACTTCTGTATTCAAAGCATATACCTTTAATTTCTTGCTAAAATCCTGGGAGCTTTGAGCTCATCATTTTGAGCCTGGGTAGATTTTCATTGTGCACTATGCTTTACCAAAACAAAGTTTTCCCCTCCTGTTTGCACCCCAGTAACTAAGGCTGTGTGTAGACCAAACGTGGGGCATGTGTGAACGACACTTTAAAGCGAGTTAAATTCTTTTGCACTACCTTAATGGTGTTGGTGTTTATATGCATTGGTAGCAAATTTGGCAGCATCATGCACCTTAAATGACTTGGGCCGCAGCAAACTAAAACTCCTCTGAGGAGTTTTAGTTGGCTGCCGTACAGCCGCAGAGCAAAGCACTGGGCTCTGCAGCTCAGGCTCTGCAGGAAGCCGGTGCAGACAGCCTGGCAGCAGGCTGGGATGGCAGGCTCTGCCCAAGGGGGGGTGGGGAAAAAGCGGCAAGCCTGATTTTATTTTTACTTTTTTTCCCCCCCGGGAGCCTGCCTGCCTACCTGAGCTGTGCAGGAACCTGGTGCTTCCCTCCACAGCTGCAGTGTCCCCCGGGACCACCCAATCTGGGTGCCTGTGGGTGGGTGCTTCCTGTGGGGGGGGGGGTGCCGCTGCCACGGAGAGAAGCACCAGCCCCCCTCACAGCCCAGGGACTGCTCCACCTGCCAGCAGCTCACCCTCCACTCCCCACTGCCAGAGAGGCAGGTAAGTGCACAGGTGTGTGCACGGCCCGGGGGTTTACTTGACCCTAAATTGAAGAGGTGTTTTTAAAAACCCACCGCTTCAATTTAGGGCCTCCGTTTCATCTACACACACCCTAAGAGAGAAGTTGTATGAAAAATTCCAGGGGGGTATTTTACTGACCAAAGTAATGGGACATCAGCAAACATCAACTTAACGTTCTGTTCGTTCTGCAGGTATTGCTAGCTAGCTTAGTATTGAACCGTGGGGCATCTTGAGATTGGTGTGCCACAAACTACAGTATATAGCTACGTGTTCAATTTATTTGTTTCTTTCTGTAGAGAGATTCTGTTGCTCTTGAAGTAGTATGACAGTCCTGAATTATTTGAATGTTGTAAAATAGAGAGTGCAGTTCTGATTATAAGAGACCATCTGTGAAAGGCCGATACATATCGTGGATCTACTTGGGCCCTTGATTGTTTTCCTCAGATACCATGTTTTATGTTTTTATGTAATATTTTCAGGTTGGGTTTCTTGAGCTCTATTTTTCCTGCAGGTTGGGATATGTGATGGTGGTGAGAGAGGCACAAAGAAAGCTATGACAAATAGAATATGCCCTACAAATGACTCAAAATGTAGAAAACTAGCCTTTTACACGTGTGCTTTACTTTCTAGGCATGTTTAACATTTCCCAAATGAAGAACCGACCAATGATCCTGATCGGTGGGTGACAAATCAGTACGTAATAAATACACTGTGATCTTGTTTGTTTTAAAGTCTTCATGGAGCAGAGAGGGATGGATTTTAATTCCAAGCTATGTTAGGTTCTTTAGGTACAGATGGGCTGATTTTTAGAAAGGCAGTTATGGTGAAAACAAAAAGAAAGTGAGGGAGGGGAAGAAGGTTAATCTATCAACTGTCAGTCCCATCATCCATCTGTTTCTAAAAAAAAATCTTTAAAAGTCAAAATACAAATGCATTTAGAGTTTCATAGCCTAAGCTGGTTGCTTTGACACTGCTCTTATTTTACTTGCTTTATGTTAAGCAAGAACAGTATGCTGATAGTGCAGAGGTTCTTGGTGTTTCTTATAAAAAGCTGCAGTGGGCTGAGATTTTCATACCTTGAAAAAATTGCAATAGATACTTGAAGGCTGTAGGCCTTGCTTTATTGCTGGGATGGGATTCCTGAGCTCATGTAGAATGGTATGGCTACTACATGGAAATCTTGCCATTTCGCCTCACTGTCGTCTTCTGAAATTCAGTGGCTCCAGATAATTTGGGATTTAATTATTTTGAAAGGTAACACTGCGAAGGTTCACAATAAATACTGCTTACAAAATTGCAGCCTGGTGTCTGTCTAGATACTTACAGCATCTTTCTCCATCATGCCCCAGCCACTGAGGTTATGTCCTTGCTCAGAAAGCAGATTGCTCAGTCCTGTTGCTGAGGAAATAAAACCCACACACCATTGCATTAACCCTGCTGAAGCAATGGTGAAAATGCCTTGAGGAGGCCCCCATACACTGTACTCAGCACCTGGGTTACCAGCATGCTCCAGCATGGGGGTTTGGGGCAGCTCCAGGGTATCTTTACGGTTTCATTTATGGAGTTGGCTTGCACAGAGCAGGAGTGGGACTTACTTCCTCAGTGGTGAGACAGGACAGTCTATCCCTCAGACACAGACACACCTTGAGTGCCCTAGACCAGTGGTATGCAACCTTTTGGTCCCACAGGCTGGATAAGTAATGTGGGGGTTGGTCCGTGAGCCTGATCCAACGTGTGCTAAGCCCTGATCCCATGTATATGTTGTACCCACAGCCCAGGACTTGCGAATGCTAGATCAGGCTCTGGCTCCGCACTCTGAATAGGGCCCAATACCCTGACCCCAGCCCTGCATGCACCAGATAGTGTGCTGTCCTGGCCCTGACCCTGAACTCTTACATGCTGTATTGAGCCTGCTGACCCTGACTCCACGCATGCCATGTCAAACCTGCTGTCCTGGTCCCAGCCATGCATATGCTAAATTAGGCCCACTGCCTTGGCTCCAGCCTCACGTAAATCAAATAAATCTGATGTATAGAACCATCTCATCTGGCCAGCAGGGGTCAGAAATTAGGCTGTGGGACAACAGTGGCAGCGTTAATTATCGCTGCTTCCCTACTGCCAAACTTCCAGATCCTTGGGGAGCCCTGCAGGCTGGATCACAGCTTGAGAGGTTGGATCTGGCTCGTGGACTAGGGGGTTGAGCACACCTGCCCTAGACTAAACTGTTCTAGGCCATAGAAAGCAATGCACAAAGTATTACTGTTCCTATTCCTAGTGAAGGCATTCTCCAACCCCTCCCTTTGCTAAAATGTCCAGGTGGTTGTGACAATGCCATAGTACATGATTTACATCCAGTTCGGGGAGGGGCAGATTCCAAACTATTGAGCCCTCTAATCAAATATAGTGTCTAGCAGCCAGAGTCAAGGACTGGGAGTCCTGGGTTCTGTTAGTGACTCTTATAAGTTACATCGCTTCTGTATCTGCATTTCCCCAATTATAAAATATCTGTTTATGAGGAGGTGGGTACATGTGCGAGATGGGCTTAAGTTTTTGAAAAAAGCATTGAGAGAGCTTTATGTGAAAGCTGATGTAATAAGCACTAACTCTGGCTATTCCTTGCTAAAAAGTTTTAAACAATCAAGGGAGAAATACTCTCCATCTCTGTTTCTGTCTTATGCTTAGTAATACATCAGCCATGAATTTTGCAGTATAATTTGCCAACTCTGAGAACTGCCCTGAATGGAGCGATGCAGATACCTAGATTAGGAACTGAAAACTGTCTTAGTAGACAGGCAACATTCCTTAGATGGGCAGATGTCCAGGCAGGATGGTCTTGCAATACCTGCCCCCTCAAATTAGTCCTCTGGAGCTTCCAAACACTACTTGTTGCAAATGCATTCTTTTTAGAGACTCATCCTTTTGTTTTTACAGCCTCTCTTCCCTTTTTCTTTGATTACATGCCATCTTCTGTCTTGTTGAGTTTTTACTTGGACAGGTTGAACCATGCAGGCAACTCTGGCCCTCTGTATTTGCTTGATACATGCATGCATGCACATGTGCATGCACACACATGCATGTGTGTATATGTATCTACAGATAGATATAATCTATCTAGAGATATAGATATTAGATATATAGATTGGGCCTACTTCGAATAGTTTACTTTTCACCACCTTCAAAAACCAGGTGACCCCTATTTTGCAACATGAGACCGCTTTAAATAATTGTTTCTGATTCTCTGTTCCTGGAATGTAACACTGCAACTCTGGCAACACACCCAGTTTATATCTATATATAGATATCTAGATATAGTTGTATAGTTATATCTACATATAGGTATAAACTGGGTGCGTTGCCAGAGTTGCTGTGTTACATTCCAGGAAGGGAGAATCAGGAACAATTATTTACAGCACTCTTGCATGTTGCAAGATAACGGTCATCTGGTTTTTGAAGGTGGTGGAAAGTAAACTATTCAAAGTAGGCCCAACCCAATGTAATTTATTAGTACATGCCTTTCAGACTTCTTTCTAATTAACACTGGGAGGAGGGAGTGAGGCAGGATGCAGAGGTAGGATCCATCCAACTTCTCTTGGAATAGCCATTTGGTTATATGGAGCCTGCTAAGTAAAATAATAGCAGAAATCTACCCAGTTTCTCCTCAAGTGTTCCACATCTTGAAAGCTAACCGCTGGCATCCCTTGCATAAACAGAACTGTCTCCATAACAGGAGATGAGTGGAAGCTGACACATGGGCCAATATACACGCATAGGAAGCAGCTACAGGATTTCCTAATTTACGTTTTTAATTAATTTCAAAGTTCAGTCAAAGCTATCATGTGAACAATCTGAAGAAGATAGGCAGAGAGAACATGGGATTCATTTAATAAAATCTAATTTTCTGGAAATCACTAATCTGTCTTGTCCTAGCAAGCCAAATCTAGCTGCTTCTCTCAATTACCTTAGCCTTATCTCTTTCTGTAATACAGTATGTCCCTTATTTCCCTTACAGAAATGTTCTTGGAAAGTTGTTCTCTTCACATGTTCACTTTACTCTCCTTAGTTTAAGTATTACCTGCTTCCTTGCTACACCCTCTAAAATAATGTAAGTTGAAAGTTAAACTTACCTTTTCAGGCTGGCTAGTAAAGTACAAAGAGAACATTAGCAAACTTTTCTCTGGTTCATTAGTGGCATTGTACTGTCATTTATAAAATAATCTACAACTGGCAGGTGTGGTACATGTAGTCTGTTTTAAAGCCGTTTAGGAAATGGGTAATTACCACAGGGAAGTGAGGTCTCACATACTGCTAATTACCTGTTCATCACATTGCTGTACAGCCAAAAGTAGGCACGTTATGCAAAGATGCAGCTCTAAGGGAGTCAATTGAAGCTGCATCTATTTTTCCCCATACCTGAATTAAACTTGCTGCCTTACAAAAATCTAAAGACCATTTAACTTTATGCACACCTCCCTTCCATATAGATATATTGTGTAAACTGATATTTGGAATAGACTTTAATGTGGCTAAACTGAGATGCCTGGAGCATCTACCTCTAAGAGCCAAGTGAAAGGCAGCACTGTTGAGTCTAATAGGGAAGACGTTAAACAGGCCTTAACCCTCCACTGTAGCTTATGCAATCCAAAGCAACTTAACACTGTGGGAGGTATCTGCCCAGCATATTGTTGCTTACTGTACTAGGTCTGAAAATAAGTATAAGTCTTCCCTTTTCCTTGGGAAAGGTGCTGCAAAGGTTAAGGTGTCCTGTTGCTTTGATTCATCTGAATTAGTTATTGAACTTGCTGGTAAGGAATTCCATATAAAGAGGGACTGAAAGACTATGAGCAAAGCCAAACCACTCCTTAACATGGACAAGTCTCTTAAAACAAGAAAGAGCCTGGTAGCCTTGGACGCAGCAGAAGTGGAACACAGTCCTTATAGCAAATTGTGAAAGCAGGAGTTGACCACTTACCTCATCACTGCCTTTTCTCTTTGCTTATCAAGTGAATCACTTCAGTTGGGCATGTAACAGGCTCCTTCTGTCTTGGTGCTTGGCAGTAAGCTCTGTAGAAATGCCAGAGACAAGGGATTAATGCGAGGGGCAGAAGGAGTGCTACTAAGTGGATTTAAAATAAAGTGCCAAACTTAGCAGGCAAAGTTCCTGCTCAGCAGGGTAACTGGTTCAGCGAGGGAATTTGAGTTTCCAGTGACTGAGCTTTAATTGGGGCATACATCATTAACACAGCAAGAGCTGGCAGTAATGACAGAGGTTCCCATCACAAAACCAGTCTAGGAACTGGTAGAAAGCATGGTTGCAGCTCATGCCTGTTTCCCTGGCCATCCCATGTGCTGGGAGAAGTAGCAAAACAAAGCGATCTCTCTCTACACAGAGAGATGGAAGGGGCAAGAGCAACAGCCAGAGCTCAACAGGGAGGAGATAAAATGAGATAAGCTGGGCAGAGTTATTTGGTAAGTGAAGATGGGACACAATCCCTTCATTGTTTTATCTCCAAAGCTGTTCTCCATGTTGCTTCCCAGCTGCTATTTCTCAAAAGTAAATGTTAATGCTTTATGTTGTGGGTGTCAAAGATATGGCCCATGGAGCCCTGTCAGCAAGCGTGCGGTGCTGTCTGTGGGTCTTGGAGTGGACCCACTTGCCATAGGTGGTGTGTGTTGGATTAGTGGGGCCTGATGAGTTTGACATCCTTGCTTTGTACTGAAAACCATTTGTTCTTCTTTTATGGGCAATTGTACAGTAATGCAGTGTTTTCAGTTCTAGTGGTTGCAAGCAACACTAACAACAAATCATTGAGTGCTTAGAAGTGGGGAAAAAGGAAGTTTGAGTTTCAGTAGAGAAGTGAATTTCAATTCCAGGCTTCCCAGACGTTTTTATAATAGAGCTGTACTCTGCTCCTAATTCAATATGCTATTTAGCTTATCCTTACACTTCAGGGGTGGGGGCGGGGGGGAAGGGGGTGAGGAGGAAAACTGTGTCTCATATTATTTATCTTTTTCTTCTTCAGAGAAAGCATTGAGTCCATCCCTACTACTCCGAGTTGCCCTGCAGAATCCCCCCAGTTCAAAGCAATGGGGCCACAGCAGACATAGCCACTGGCTGACTCCAAGAGTAAGTTTATTAAAACAGATGGAAAAAGCATTTAAGAAAAATGTGTTTACAGGACAGCTTGCCTTGCCAGCATCTCACCCAGAGCAACAGCAGCTTGTGGCAGGAATTCAGCAAGCTCAGCTGAGAGGCAGTTGCATTGTCCGAAGGAACTTGAGCTCCAGCTTAAACATGAAGTGCCTTAGGACAGAAACTCCTTCTATTAAGCACACTGGCCAAATTGTTGTGGACAGTCACTCCAGAGGTCCTGCCAGAAATCAGTCAGAAGAGAAGGGTCCAGGGTCTGAAGCCAATACCCGTCATTCTGGTTTTTGTGCTAGCGTACCAGGTGCCTCTGATCATCTGACTCACACTGACCAGGAAGGACGGGCTGCTATGGTAGATGTTGGAGGGAAGCTAGATTCCAAAAGGACTGCAGTGGCCACTGCTGTGGTTCGACTGGGTCAGAAGGCATTTGGGATGGTGGTTCAGAACCAGCTGAAGAAAGGAGATGTGCTAGCAGTAGCCCAAATTGCAGGGATTCAAGGAGCCAAGCTGACCAGCCAGCTGATCCCATTGTGCCACAACATCCCACTAAACCTTGTGGAAGTCTCTCTCAGCCTGGATGAGAGCAGGTATGCAGTGGTGATCCAGACACGCTGCTGCACCCAAGGGAAGACGGGTGTGGAAATGGAAGCCCTGACAGCTGCCAGCCTGGCTGCCCTGACTGTGTATGATATGTGCAAAGCAGTCACTCATGATATAGTCATTGAAGAAGTGAAGTTGTTGAGCAAGACAGGAGGGCAGAGGGGAGACTTCCAGCGAGCTTAGTCCATAGGCATTGGATAACACCACTGGGAGGTCTGGGCCTCTGTGCCTACCTGCACTAGGCTTGGCAAAAATGCCAGCAGACACCACCTGAAAGACGTAACTTCATCTCTGTATTGCCTAATCATCTCAGTGACAAGCTGGGAATTATGGAACTACTATCTTTTTGCCTCAATGAATTGGTTTTGAGTTTGGTTTTCAGTTGAGAGCTTGACAGCCAGGTTTAAGAGGTTTCCAGGTCAGACCACAACCAGATTTTGGCACTCCTGCTGATTCTGCCAGCAGGGATGCCAAGAATCCAGTTAGGTTTTGGAGACTGAGCTTTACTCTCACTGCTCTCAAGTATCAGGGAAGCTTGCATGCTTCCTGTAATCAAGCTATGTGTATATTCACATCTCCAGGGCTCACTATCTTGGCACTTTTCTTCAATGCTAAATTCACTTGACAAATTTAATATTATTATTGT